GCCTTCTTACGTCTACTTTTCTTTTAATAAAAAGAAGTATTAGCGAGCTAAAATTAAAGCAAATACCGATAAGATTAAATACGAATTACCAAGTCTAGCCGCTTAATAAAATATAAAAAGATTCGAAAAGAATACTATATTTAAAAAAGCTAATTGCGATCTTATTTTATTTTAACGCGTTATACAATTGATTTAGAAAAAAGACGAGCCAGCTCCGGAGTTGTTTTACGGCGTTAAAGATAGCGATACGGAATTAAGATCATTCCCAAACTCAATGCTTAAGTTTATATAAAATAGAATTCACGATTAATTACAAATTTTATATTTTATAAAAATACTTCTATTTATCTTATTTATTAATTATATTTATTAATAATACTTATTAATTATATTTACTTATCATATTTATTAATTATATTTATTAATTATATTTACTAATTATATTTATTAATTATATTTACTAATCATATTTACTAATCACATTTACTAATCGTCGGTTTTTTGTATAACGATACGCTAAGTCTTATAACGATACGCCAAGTCTCTTAGACGCACCTTATATACGCTAAGCTACTTCTTTCTTTTTTTCCTTCGCATTTTTCGTATTCTCTTATTCTTCGCTTTTAACTTATAAACCATAGTTTACGAGTCTTTAACGCTTTTACCTTCGTGTATATAAACCTTAGCTACTTTCGACTTTTATATTCAATAGTTATTAATTCTAAGTCATTACTTTAAGATTCTTTTAAGCTCTTATATAAACCTCGCGCTCTTATAAGTTCTTTTAAGTAATCGCTTAAAGTCGTTACAAGTCTCTTAAACGCACTTTATATACGCTAAGCTACTTCTTTTATTTTTTCTTTCGTATTCTTCGTATTCTCTTATTCTCCGCTTTTAACTTATAAACCATAGTTCACGAGTCCTTAGCGCTTTTACTTTCGTATATATAAACCTTAGCTACTTTCGACTTTTACACTCGGTAATTGTTGATTTTAAATCATTACTTTAAGATTCTCTTAAGCTTTTATATAAACCTCCGCGCTTTCGTAAGTTCTTTTAAGTAATCGCTTAAAGTCGTTATATCTTAAAGTTTTAAATAAAAAGAATTGACCGACTTGCTATATTTAAAATCGATATAAATATATTAATAAATTATTTTAATATTTAGATTTATAAATTATATTTAAAGTTAATCATATATATATTTTATTTAATATAATAACGATTTTAAAACTATTTATATAAACTCATCTATTAATTTATAATAATGAAATTCAAAAAGCCTTCGCAAGCTATCGAATTTATTACTTTCCTTTCTTGCGATACCTCTTTTTTATATATAAAAAGTCTTTTGCCCGTTAACAATACTAATTCTATGATATCCGTCGTTATGTTCGTTTTTATTAATTTATTTAACAAATAGCTTAATTTTATAGCCGTTATTTAAAAACCGCTTAACTCGATATTCGTTTATTCTAACTAACTAGCTACGATTACGCCCTTCTTCGTTTAGCATTTTTATTGCACACCGAGCGTTTCGACCGTTCGTTCGTCTAATAAAAAGAGAATAATAAGTTTCATTATCTACTTCAATAAAGATCGAGTTTAGTTGGTTTGCAATCTTTAATAAATTAATAACTTAATTAATATATAGATAATAAAACGGTACTTACAAATAAATCGGCAAGCGTCCGTTAAAATATGAATTTCTTTTATTTATTCTTTAGCTATAATAAATATTCGAGCTTGTAAATATAATTATAAGCTAATACGATTATAAAGTGTTCTATCGTTTTATATAATAAA